AACATTTAATTAATATTATGATAAATTACATATGTAAAAATATCATTTGAGTAATTATAATATTAGAATTGTATACCTACTATGATATGGGTTTGGTCTAAATTCTATCTGTCATTTTAGTGGCCTTTCAAGGTTATTGAAATATCAACGATTTACATTCAAGATAATTATAAATGTTAAGTTTTATTTTTGTATACCTACATGCAATTTTATTTTATGGGTCATGGTTTTCGTATCACCGAATATTAAATTATTCACGAAACAACTAACGTGGATTAGCCACAACTACAGACTATTATTAAATATTACGCAGGTTACATAAAAGATTATTGTCATAGACAGTTAGGTTTTCTAAGTATTTTTTTTATTTTTAACAAATATCATGGTACACGAAACTCAATGTTTAAAACGTATAAACATTTTCATACGTAGGTAATAATAAAACTGTCAAATTCATAGTTTGACACTTGCAATACTTACTAGGTATGATACGAATATTGATTCTATTATTTGCAGTTATTATACATATAGTTTATTAAATAATTCTACTGTGATTTTACCACGTACAAGGTAATAAAATTAGTACTCAGACATAACGAGTAAAAAATTAATTTAGTAATATTTTAATATAGAACGCAAATATAAATTTGATGGGTACGAAAATTATCAGTTCGTATAGATATAGATAGGTATGTCAGTGGCGTAATGGTGAGCCTATGAATCTTAAATCGGATTGAGGTTTTAAGTAATTATATATTTAAATAAATTATTTTGGCAGTACAAATAAGGGGCTTTATGGGACAAAGGAGTAGAAAATATATCCCCTAACTTCTTCTCCTGGAGGTAGTTATTTTTTTTTTCAAAATCGAATCAAATTKATGCATTTGTATATTGTGTGAACATAATATATTGAAGGTAATTCACATATTTATCACTTATAAAATACATTAATAGTCAAAAATGCTCCATATAAGTACAATTTTATTTATTTATAACGGATATATTAACGATTGAATAATGACATACACAAAATTGAATAGATTTATTATTATGGACATGATTTATGATAATAAATCTGTATAATATAATATAATATATGTATAATTACAAACACAATTAAAATGTTTAAAAAAATTAAGTATAGGTGTCTATTTTAAATTTCTCAATTATTGCTTTTATGTGCTACTATGAAGTTTATA